ACATTATATAATGTTATGTTAGCATTTCCCCCCCACATCCTATCACCTTTCTCTGCTTTACTTTGCTCCACTATATTTGCTGCAAACTGAAACACTGTGTAGCAGTGGTCAGCAAACTTTTTAGAAAAGGGCCAGATAGTAAATATTCGAGGCTTGCAGACCGAACAGTCTCTGTTGCAACGATTCAACTCAGCCACTGTAGCTCTAGAGCAGCCATAGATAATATTTAAACAAATGGGCCTGGCTGTGCTCCAGGAGAACTTTATTTCCCAGAACAGGTAATGGGCCAGATTTGTTGCAGGTGGCCAACACCTGCCTTGCATGACAGTTTGCTTTTTTCTTTGTTCTTATATTACCTGTCTCCCCCTCTAGAAGATAAGGACCATGAGTATAGACACTTTTTGTCTATTTTGTTCATTATTCTATCCCAGCCTTTAAAATAGTGTGAGCACATAGTCAGTCAGCATAAGGTGTACTATGGAATGATTAGAGTCACATGAAATTAGGTGGGAGAGAAAGAAGATGAAATGCTTCCCATCCTCTTTCTATTCATACTTGATGGTTCTAAACTTTTACTAAAATAGTTGTATGCAAATCCCTTACTTAAAAAATAAGTATTGGATCTCTGTTGCTGACAGGTTAAATTTAAGTTTCTTAGCATGACATATAAAGTGTTGTTCTGAAGAAGATACCCACGAGCTGGTGTAGATTGACCAAGAGAAGGGTCATGTTTTTAAGAATTAAAAGTACAATTATGAGAACACCAGAATAAGACTGAGTTAGTTAGTTTCAAGTTAGTTAAACTCAAAAGAGACCAAAGAAAAAACCGGAATTCCAATATATCAATGCATAAGAAATAGATCTATTAGATGGGCTGTTTTTTTTCCTGGTTGTTTGTTTGTTTGTTTTTGTGCAGGTGCATCCCAGGCATTGAGAACAGAACCTGTTTTCTGCTCAGTGCATAAGCTCCCTGTAATCAAATCTGTATGAGAAGAAAATTCATAATCAGAAGGTATCTCAGTGAATTTGGGATCTCCATGAAGAGATATAGTTTTTTCTAAAATTAATTATATTATCATTATAGGTGTAAGGGAAAACTGAGTTCCCAAAGATCTGTGAACTGTAAGGCATCCTTATCTAAGTAGTCCTTTCTCCTGTATTATATATCGAATTTGTGCATAAAATTTCAGTGCAGAAAAAGGAGGATTTGCTATGAAAAATGAAACCCACTGAATTTCTTAGTTTGATGATAGTACCAGAAATCTCATCATTTTCTGACATTCTGATGAATGTTTTGGAGTCAAACACAGCCTCTCCACTGGGCTGTGTTAAGTACAGACTGCAGCTGTTTGCTCCTGTGATTCATCTCTCTTTGTAATTCTAATGCTGAAAAAAGTATTTGGATTGACTTTTTACGAATATAAGTTAATATCTTTTATCAGGTCATAGGCAAGTCTTAATCTTGAAAAGAGTCAGTCTATTTAAAATGAATTTATATCTCAGCTATAATCCACTATATATTTATTTCATATAATAACTTTCAGAGGATAATATTATCTGCCTATTTCCAAATCCTCATTGTTCTCCCGGTGAATATCTACAAAACTCTTCAACTCACCTCTAGCCTGTCTCTCAACATAACTTACCATTTGAACTGCGCTGAAATCCCTACTTTTGTTCCACACAAAGACTTCATATGCTGATATCTTTGCA